GGGGAGGAAGCAGGTGGCAGGGGTGGCCAGGGGTGCCTTTCACCAACTTTGGGTGGTGAGCCAGCTGTGGCTCTTCCTGGGCAAGGAAGGTGCGCAAATGCGCCATGATACTAGTGGGAAGTGGGAAGAAAACCAGTTCCCAACAGTATCGATCCTGGAAACAGCCGACATTCGATATTTTCTCAAATGTCTGCCGGACACAAACAATGCCCTGGCTTCAGAATGCCCAGAAAGGGTCTCTGCCCATCCAAGCCTGGTTCAGGCCCCACCCTTGACCCTTCGCTGGCACCCGGCAGGAGTCAGCCCAGCCCAGCAGCTGAGTGGGTGGCGGGGTGGGCGTCCGTTCGGGAGCAGAAGGTTCCAGCTGAGCCCAGAGACAGCCCCCCCCGCCTCTGCTCTGCCACCCCCACCCCCACCCCCTCTAGCAGGCGGCCTGGCTGTACCTGTTGAACAGGTTGTTCCTGCTAACCATCCTCAGGAAGCCGGTGGGGTCTGTCACCGAATTCAGCTTGTTGTTTGTCTCCTCCAGCTGCTGGTCCATGAGGTCTCCCGCCTCACTCCCGGTCTCGCTGCTGGCGCAAGCGCTGCTGGGGGAGAGAGAAGGGCCCGGGTGTCACGCCCCAGCCGCTGTGTGCGCAGGTGTGTGCGCTTGTGTGCGTGCACAGGGTGGGGCCCTGCCAGAGCCCATGTGCACGCAAGGCCCGCGGGGGCGCAGCGGTTTTGGCGCTGGGCTGGCCCTGGGGGCCCCTGGCCCTGGAGGCTCCCCTGGAGGGACGTGGGGCCCTCAGCCACGCCCCACCTTGCCCAGCTCACAGGAGGACAGGAACTGGGAAGGGGGGGGGAGAGGGAATATGTGACACACACACACACACCCAGGGTCCTTGGAGGACGAGGGGACTCCACCAATCTCACAGTGCCCCCATCTGTGGATACCCAGACCTGTGGATTGGGGCCACAAGGACCACAAACGGGATTTCTGGCCAACCGGGGGGGGGGGTTTTAACAGAAAATTTTTTTTGGGCGTTGGTGGGCGGTGGGACTTTAAACCCACCTGATTCTTCCTCCTGTGTCAGCAGATGGGGGTGGGGGGAGTCTCAGCAAGGGTTACACTTATCTGGTGACTCCCCGAGCCAGCCAGGAGAGAATCAGGCGGGGGATGCAGGAGTCCTCACCCCCACCCCACCGAGACAGCAACGAAGCAGTTGGGCAGTGGGGTGTGTGTGTCACGGGACTCCTCACGGCCCCCCTGCGGAGCCAATAACCTGGGGAGGTGGGCGGGGCTGCACTAAGCTGGCAAGGAAGGAGTCGGGCCCAGGAGTCCTCCCCCTCCCCCCTGCTGGAGTAGTAACCAAGGGATTGGGGGGGGGGCGGCAGACCTTGCCACCCTCCCACCCAGCTGGCCCTGCTGGGGCGAGAGAAGCCAAGCCA